TGACCTTCCCTAAAAATAGGACCAAAAAGAATGCATAGTGCCAAAGTTCTCGCCGAAACGGAAATGAATCAACATTCCAGCAAAATATTGACAAACACAAACATATATGCAACACCACAAACACAAGCAACACCACAAACATACATAGATCTAGCTAGGCCACAAAAAGTGCATGTGCACATTGTTGGAGCGAGGTAGGGAGAAAAAAAGTAGATCTACATCATGAAGATAGCTTTCCCCTTACTTACCTATCAAAAAAAGGTGATTTCACCACTTAATTTTGATGAATTTATGGTGGAAATGAGGTGAGGAGGAGGAGGCAGCCGAGACAAGCTTGGAGGAGGAGGTGGAGAGAATGAAGTGGGGAAAGTGAGTGGGTAGGTGGGCTGTCCAAAATATCTTGTTCGTCCCAGGTTACTAATGGCGCACCACCACACAATGCGCCATTAGTAACCCTGGTTACTAATGGCGCACCGGCAGGTGGTGCGCCATTAGTACTTTTTGCAGAAAAGTAAAAAAACATATGTATACTAATGGCGCACTGTGGAAAAGTGCGCCATTACTAGTTTAAACTAGTAATGGCGCACTTTGGAATAGTGCGCCATTAGTAGGTTTGCAAAAAAGTAAAAAAAAATATATACTAATGGCGCACTGTATTGGTCGTGCGCCATTACTAGTTCCAACTAGTAATGGCGCACTTTGCCGTCCATGCGCCATTAGTTTGTATGGAAAAATGAGAAAAAAAATCAATAGTAGTGGCGCACTGTGAGCACGAGCAACCGGTGCGTCATTAGTATATAGTAGTGGCGCACTACTTGCCTGGTGCGCCATTAGAATCAGTCCTATCTATAGCCCTTTTCCTAGTAGTGGTTCCCCAAAGCCGAGCTGCCCCCGAAGCCAGAGTTCAATTTCACAAAGTTTCTTTTGTAGCTCACGCTACGTGGAACCTCTTATCCTCAACCCTCCACCCTTGCTTTGAGATCTGTGCTCTCCAACTAACTTACAACAAGCAAATTTCTCTTTTTTGTTTCTCTAAAATGAAACAATATATGCACTTCAAACTTTGCAGATCGAACAAACATTAGAACATCAATGTGTGAAAAAACTTTCAGATTTTTTGGTCTGATATAAATATAGAAAATGAGATTTTGTTTGATTAAAAATATTATTTTATGCATGAAAAAATGCATGAAAAAATCTGAAAGTTTTTTCCCAGATTGTAGTTAGAATGTATTGTTGTTCTGCAAAATTTGAAGTTTATATGTTGTGTCGTTTGAGAGAAACAAAAAGACAAAAATGTCTGCACAGATCGCGATGCAAAAATAAATGGCAAAGATAAGGGGTACCATGTAGCCTGTGCTACACAAAACCACACTCCATTTCATTTTCCGGAGCCAGAGGCCAAGCCATGATCGGACTAGCTGCATCTGCGTAGTGCCGTATCTAAGTATTATTAAACTATATACTATGTGTGTGTGATTGTTTTTATGTTTTATCATACATGTGCGTGCGTGTGTGCGTGGTACATGTCGTTTAGAGCATACTGTCGAGTTCCGGACGGCAGCGTTATGTTTGAGTGGTGTTGCATGATGCATGGTGCAGCTTCTCAATTTGTTCCCTACATCCCTTTACGTACATGCAGATGTATATGATATATGTACCTGAATAACTATGTTTTCGTGTTTGGAGTTTTTATATTGGATCGCATTTGTGTTTGGATTTACATATATGCATCACTAAAGAGTTCTTATGTTTTGGCTACATTATGCGCTTCGGAGAAATTTCCTTTTTGGGCGGATAATTTATTTCTTTTGTCATTTTGTATTAATAGTACAGAAGACCTGAAAGCCCAGGTCTGATCGGAAGCATAATAAGATACTCCCTCCGTTTCTAAATATTTGTCTTTCTAGAGATTTTAACAAGTGATTACATACGAAGTAAAATGAATGAATCTACACTCTAAAATATGTCTATATACATCCGTATGTGGTAGTCCATTTGAAATCTCTAAAAAGACAAATATCTAGGAACGGAGGGAGTATTACTCAAAAAAAGCATAATAAGATATAACGTCTTGAAGGGTCGCATCTCTTTAGCCATGCAAAATCAAATGGCTATTTATTTTATTTTTTCCTCAATATTCACGCTCCAGGCAATATTAGTTGAGGCGAGAAATATTGGGCGTAATGCAAGTTTTAATTTCATTGAAAGAACAAATAGGATTTGTATACCACTATGTGGTTATGCCAACATAATTTAAAAAACAAAACAAAATCCCCGTTACGGATACTTACTCCCTCTATTCCAAAATATTCAAAGTTCTAGATTTGTAAATCCAAAGTATTCAAGTTTGACCAAGTATACTGAAAAATATGTTATCAAGATTAATATCAAATACAACATATAGAATGGGAATACATTTTGTGACGAATATAATGCAATTAGTTTTGTTTTGTAGATGTTAATATATTTGTCTCTAAACTTGGTCACACTTTAAACTTCAAATCTTTTTTTGGAATGGACAGAGTATAAAAATATATTTTCACCAAACTGATGAACAAAAATTGTTCTATTGATGTCTAAACAATACGATGTGCTAATGAAGCTAGTGACCACCTTTGACTATTTCCAATGTTGTATATGTTGCATAGATTGAAATTTATTTATTTATTTCAGGGAATCCTTATTGTCGTATGGGGAGTAATTAAAAGCAACCCCGGAATATTAATATATGACAAAATGAGAATGTTATGTTACGTAGCTTTGGTTTTTGTTGTTCTTGTTGTCGAGTCTAAACACATTGTTACGTAGCTTTGGTGAACATAACTTTTTTTCCTAAAATAAAAAAGCCATGCATTCACGGTCTGGGGTATCCAAGTACTCCCTCCGTTTCTAAATATAAGTCTTTGTAGAGATTTCATTATAAACCACATACGGATGTACATAGATGCATTTTAATGTAGATTCATTTCTTTTACTCCGTATATAGTCCATCTAGTGAAATCTCTACAAAGACTTATATTTAAGAACAGAGGGAGTAGTATATTATTACTAGCTAGTACTTGAAGAGTTAGCTAGTTAGCTTGAGTTGCTTGAGGAAGGGTCACGCCAAGATGAAAAGGAAGCCCGTACGACATGGAATGGTCACCTTCAACTTAACTCTCGGAACTACGTAGGAAGTCAAACGTACTTCGTCACAGATGACTGTTTATCTCAGCAGCTTGTCCTTGATATGGAAGTCTTCGGTGCATCGTCTCCTGATGGCGTCGCGCGGCCGGTGACCTGCATCACGCACGGGACCGTCGACGCTCCTACGCGACCGCGTGGACGCGCGATTCGTCCACCACCAGCCCGGGTGTCAGGTAGGTGGACGACCTGCTTCCAGTCCATCAGAAGATGAGCCGGCCGGATCGATGAGGTAGCCTCGGCGAACCACACGCAGCCGATCGTCTAGCGCAGTAGAAGGATAGCGAAGACGACCGGAACCTACCAGGGCCGTCTCCAGGAATTCGGGGACCCGGTGCCAAATGCAAAATAAGGCCTTAAAAAAATCTAAAATATATGTTTTATAAAAAGAAAAAGAATGAATTCAAACACTCCATAAATTATAGGCTTATACCAAGATAAAAAAAACTGTACCCTGAATTTTAAACGAGCAACTAGCTTGAAAATTTTGGTGTGTGACAACTTGGTGAACTAGCCTAGTACTCCTTGCACAGTACATTAGCTGGACATTGCACATCGGTACGCTTCCTCTTTGCCGTGTGTGACAACTTGGTCAACTAGCCTAGTACTATATATCTTCTCTAAAACAAATGGATTGATAAACTGAAGCGTATGCACACAATATACTCACTAGTATAATCGTTCAACAGGTAGTTTCAAAAAAAAAAATCGTTCAACAGGACAGAACACTAAATTAAATTGGGAATCAGTTTGAGCACACCTTGTGGACAGATCGGGGATGCCATCACCTAGGTCTCGGACACCGGTGACAAAGAAAACTGTGGAATGAATTCTTCATGCCGGCAGGGCTCCGGGAGGAAACAAAGTGACAACGACGCTCCGTCTCCGTGCGCCGCCGCCGCCGCCGCACTTCGTCGGTTCACCTCCGTGAGGGCCCTTTTTTCTCTTCCGAGCAGACCGCGCGGGGCTAGATCGATAGATCTCGATCGGCGGGCTGTGTCGATCGGGACTAAGGAAAGGCTTATTTTGGGAGATTGAGGGGCTGGCCCAGTTTGAGAGAAACAGGGACTAGCTGGGCAGGCGTAAGTCTGTGCTAGTTGTGATAAAAGGGCCCAACACGAAAAATATACGAAAAACTGGCCCAAAATCGGGGGGCCCTGGAATTTGGGGGCCCTTTGCGGTCGCACAGCCCGCACAGGCCCTTGGACGGCCCTGGAACCTACTACACAGAGCAGCTGAGCTGCCGATGGATCAAGATCAGATCAGCAATTGACCCCAGGAGCAGTTGCATTTTGGTGCTGCTGTCAAATGACCGTCCAGCGGAGGTTTCGTGTCTGAATCCGACTTCTTTGTATGCTTTTGTTCTTCTCAAACAACAACTGACAAACAATTTTTTTTAAATCACAGCTAAGAATCCTCTCATCTAACCATGGAACATGATATTTGTGCAAGTATATACACAAACGTGCCCTTAGTGTTAGCCTTCTTTCTGAACTTATAGAGAAAGAAGAGCACATGCCCACCATAAATCGACAATATCACCCCTAAACTTCAAAGCCGGTTAATTGTTCCCCTGAAGTTTAAAATACCTAACAAAACAGCCTCGAAATCCACTTTAAATATAGACTGAGTATAAACATCATGTTTGGTAAAATTTGCTCAGCAATCAACTACCGGCTAGCTGACAAGACAGTCAAGATCAAGGCCTGTTAAGCACCAAGACTAATAACACGTATCATCCAGTGGAGTTTGTGGCCTATCTAAATCCCGGACTGTCTATGCTCACAATGTGAACGTTTCTCAGGTGTTGCATCCTACATTTCTTTTTTCTGAAGTTTGGACTGCTTCATCCACTCATGGCACTCCTCCGCGGTACCTTTGGGATGCGCAAGCTGCCACTTCACTAGCCTTTCTTTCTGAAAGAAAATGAAAAAATATTGCATTAAGAATGTCTTACAACTAGAACAATGTGATCACTTACAAAGGGAATGGAAGGATCAGTGTGTACCCATTCTTTAACCAAGGGACCTTCTCCGATGTCCAAAACTCCCATAATGTCGTTCCCATCGAGCAGCGGTTTTATACCTATCTTCCATACACCTTCAAGATCTGAAGAACCAAATGATTAAGGTATAAATCAGGACAGCAAGTCAGAATTTCAGACGAGTACTGACTGTCAGTCAGTACTTTACCGAAAACAATTCGGCATCATCAGGTAGGAAACTGAAAATAATTCTGCATCATCAGGTAAGTTCTTTACCGAGGTCGGTTATTAAACGCTCAACTCTGATATATATCTCTTTCCTTCTATTTAGCTTATCCTGCTGGCTTAAGGAACCATTAGCACTGAGGACTTCTGGATATGACAGAGTGGATATCAACAGCGCCAGACGCCAAAGGTCCTTTATTCCAAGGAGTGTAAGTCCTGAAATGCTTACACTGTCACAAATTTTTGGTCTAGGAACGAAAAAGGAGTAAGAATGTCATGAATGAATAGATCCAACTGAATCATCAACAGCAACTATTCCAATATTCTAATAAGTTTAACCAAATATATTGAACGATCAAATCAAGAATTGACATCACAGACATGGGGTTATAGAGAACCCAACACTATAAAGAATGTTCAAGATTTGAAAACAAGCATGTTCAACACTGACCTGCCAAAACACGTGCTACCATGTCTGTTGGTATCTCAAGATATTTGTCGTTCGGGTTCTCTTTGACAGTTTCCAGATTTCCGTTTGACTCGAGGAAAATAATTAAATCGGCAAACTTGTCACTTGCAGCATGTATTCGGACAATCTTTAAGAACAGAAATAAAAAGATCATGAAAAGTTATAATCCCAAGGCGTACGATATGCAGAAACAAATGCTGTTGGAGGCTGCTCAGGAAACTGTACTGCTTCAGCATCAGAACCATTCAACTTTAGAGAGTTTCCAATAATATAGCGAACAACCTCCTGCAGATGATGCCACAAACTTGGTAATGTACTTGCTTCAAAACCGACCAAATTAGCTCAATTAAAGCACCTAATATCCAGCTTCGTCAGCTTACTTACAGAAGAACTGACCCAAGTCTTTTCTAGAGAACAATTCAACAGAATTTAAGTACATAACAAAATTTTTTTTTTCCTGCTTTAGCAGATATAATTTTTGAATCAAAAAGGGTGAAGATGATGCAATAGTAGCATCTAATATTTGTACTAAGATATATAATATGATTTCGATGAACCAAGACTGCTCTCTCCAGTCATTCTACTTGCAAGCAAAGTTCGAGCTTGCCTCCTTAAATAGTTACCGTTTGCATTGAAGTTTGGAGGATTCATGAGTTAGATGTTACCTTTTTCTTCGTGTACACCATATTTCGAACTGGAGTAAATAGTGCACTATACATGCAAAGCCTTCTCTGTTCATCCTAAACAGCATCACAAAACTTAATTAGTGTTATGAAAATAAAAGGAAATTATTTGCAGGTAAAAGAATGTCAGTCATAACAAAAAGCATGTATAGTAAAGTTGTATACCATAGGAATCATCAGTTTTTCTATAATTAAGATGAAACTGTGATGAGGATCTTAGTATCAAATTTTTTTTGACAAGAAAACACTAGAGAGGCTCCTACTGCTGTATTATTATATATAGTGGAGGATTTACATGGAATATTACAAGTCCATCAGCAAAATTCTATGACCAAATTACAAAGATCTGAGAAAGAGTTTAATAGATGATATAATGTCCTTTTGGAACCTATAACGAAGAAACTCAAAAATCTGTTCGCAACCTTCTCAACCAGGTTCGGAGTGATAATACTGTGTGTAGTCATCTATAAGATTTACTGAATTGATAGACAGATTCATTTTTTATGAAAGTGATAAACAGATATTGGAAAAATGGAGAAGCTTTACTTGGTAGGACCAACCATGATTTCAATCAGGTGCAAAAAAGAAAATGCATGTGCCCTGTTTTTGTTTGTAAAAATGAATCCCACACAGTTTACAGATAAGAATAAGGGTAATGTTGGTTACACTTTCGACTCTGCTCAAAAAGTTACACTCTTGACTATAAGCATTTTAAAACCATCTTTAAGCCAAGCATGGAAGATAGAACAAAGAAAAAAAACATGTATAAATCATGTCAGAGTACGATATTTCACAGTGTATCCTTAACAAGACATGCTGAAAATCTCAGACCTGCGACATTGAACCAGAACCACCTCTGAAAACAGAGCAGCCAATTGATTGTGCAAGATTCCATGCTGCTTCAATATGTGAAACACATAGCCTGCGTCAACACAAGATACAAGATGAGACTGAGTTGAAGTAAATATGCCAATGGAAATAAACACACCAGTGAACACTGGTGGTGTAAAACTCTATGAATACAGAAGTTCAAAGTGTAATTTTGCCAGACATTGTTGCATATATTGAAAACATGGAATAATTACATATTAAAACATGGACATACCAATCATGTTTGTTGAGAACTGGAGGAACTGTTTTCTCAGGAAATGCAAAAACAACGTAAAATAATCCCAAATCACGGATATGGCACATTGCATCAACCGGATATTTGTCTGACATCATGTGCTCAACCTGCAGAATGTACACTTAGATAAAAATGGTGACCTAGGGTTTTGCATGATATCAAAAGATAAAAAAAACAGTGACAACGAAACATGGCTTGGCAATAAGAAGTGTAGAAATCAAACCTCCTGACCAATACGTTCTCTGCTAATCTTGCTACCAAGATTCAACTTCACTTTTTCATCAGAAGCGGCTTCCCTTAAATTTTCAGCTAATGTAAAGCTGAATCTAGCAGCTGTCAGAGATAAATATTGGTACATACAACGAAAATTAATGTTCCAAGTCACTGTTCAGCTTTTTAATTAACTAGAAAGGCTATGAGTTGACTACTTATGAACACACATATAAGATTTTGACTTACAAACATGAGGAACATTTTTACTTCTTTTCATGTCATATAGTGTGTAATATTAGCAAATCAATTTATACAACTTTGTAATCTTAATAGTTTAGATAGTACTCCCTCCATCCCATAATATAAGAACGCTTTTTACATTAGTGTAGTGTCAAAAACGTTCTTATATTATGGGACAGAGGGAGTAGCATCATAAAATTAAAGGATAAAACTATAGCAAGAGTTATTGGAGATCAGGTAGTGATGTTTGAATATACCAAATCGGATTGCTCGAAGAACCCTCAGGGGATCATCGAGGAATGTAACTTTGGCTGGTAAAGGAGTAACAATAAGGCCTGCCTTCAGATCTTCAAGACCTTCATAGAGATAGGATCGATCAATTATGGTTACATAGAAGCACATACTTTAAACTGGTCACATGAGTTTACAAACGTGTAATAACGGCTAAACTCACCTCTTCGAGTTAAATCTTCCACCGATTTCGTGTTGATATTATAGAATAAACTGCCAAAATACAAGATTCAAATAGGACAAACTAGGATACTACATTAAAAATAAACATTGTAGCAATGAAAACATAAATCTAAATACCCAAATCATTTGAAAATGAAGACTGTATTACCTATTAATTGTCAGGTCCCTGCGGAATGCATCTTCTTCAGGCGTACCATCCTCCTGCACGTCAACAAATATGACATACCAGTAAACTAGTAAATTGGTGCACAAGGTCAGCAAAATGAGTATGCAAAGCAATTCTAAGTGCATGTGCGTACCACAGTGGGAATACGACTGTTTTCAGCATATTTTTTGGTCCTCAAGTTGACAAAATCAATCGAGATTTTAGAGATGTCAGATAGACATATCCTTGCGGTTTCCAAGTGCTTAGATTGGCCAGGATTGCTGCAGGAAACTATAAAATGTCACAAGTTCATGATAAAAGGCATTTAAATTACTGCATATGTTAATGCGACAAAGTATAGTATGCTTAGGAGTTAGGAACGTGTATAAAACACTCTGCTTTGACCAAAAGGTGATCTATCCTATGGTACACTTATGAAGATATACGGAGCACCCGGCTTGGATAAAATAGTGACTCTCCTTGCCTCTGTTTAAACTCAACTCAAACAAAATTGAAATGCACATAAGTGTTAAGGCTATAAATCTGAAAGAAGTGGCAAATGATATCAGCTATAATAAGATTGCATACCATGGGATAATACAAGGTTCTTCCAGCTCCTGACCGATCACCTTGTAGTACTTAGTTATTTCCCCACAAAATTTTACGCCGGTCATGTTATCATCAAGCGCGATGTCGATGTCGGTAGAGTCTTTCCCCAATAGCTGCAACGAATATGCCAAAGCATGAGTTTAAGTCACAAGACTGCCCAGTGCACAACAATCGTTTCATAAACTACCCCCTCTGTAAATTAATATAAGAGCGTTTAGATCATTATTTTAGTATTCTAAACGCTCTTCTATTAGTTTACGGAGGGAGTACAAGCCAAAATAAGATGCGATTTTCATGGAATTCACTACTTGATCATTAAACAACTCCTCCTTTATTTTGACAACTAAAAATGCCTCCTTAAACCCCAGTACATAAACCCTAGTAGTAGAGAATATAAAGGACCTACATCTGCGCATTATCCAACGATTTTTCCTATATTTTTCTAAACACGGAAAAAGGCAGTGCTCACCTTGTCTCTGACCCATCCGCCGGCGACGCGGAGCTGGGTGCCGAGGCCTCGGTGGTGGACAACATCGAGAAGGCGCCCGAAAATCCGCTGCTCCAGCTCTGTGAGCACTATGCTCGGCTGCTGCGCCCCCACCGCCATGGCGGCTGGAGACAGTTCTCCGAAGGCGGAGAGGGGGGAGCAAAAGGAGGAGGCCGCCGCGAGGTGGGAGGAGCAGGCGAAGAGACCTGCAGGGGTTGGCCTCCCGGTTGTTAGGATTAGACCCTCCCGCGCCGTGTGGCAGCACCGTGCGGTTCGTCGGCGCGAGCGTCGTGTTCTCCGGAGTGGCGGCCGCCGGAGAACAGCGGCATATGGATCGATCGCTCCCGTCCGTCGTTGGCGTAGGGTGGGCCGACCCATTAACTCCGATCACCACGTTTGTAGGCGTAGGTACAATTTGTCGCTTTTTCCCTTCCGTTTTTCTTCACTGCATCGAAAAACACAAAAGTGCTCCAAAAAAGGAAAAAAATTGTTTGTGAATTCAAAAGAGTTCTTGCATTAAAAAATTGTTGTACGGTATTGAAATAGTGTTCGTGAGTTTGAAAGAAAAGTTAAATAATACCTGAAACGTCACAAATTTGAAAACAAATCTGGATTTGGAAAAAAGTATTAATTTTTAAGAAGTTTAAAAATTCAAAAATATTTCGTGAAATTTAAAAATTATTAGTAAATTCTAAAAACGTTTAAGAATTTTTGAAAATATGCATGCATTTTAAAATTTTAAGAAATATTCACGGACTTGAGAAATATACAAGAGTTTGAAAAATGTTTGTGAATATGAAAAATCACGAATTTGAAAACATTTTTACGAATTCAAAAAATGTTTGTGAATTTAAATTTTTGCCTTAGTATTTGAGAAAACTCTCAAAATTGAAAATAAATTCGGGGATTTGAAAATTGTTCGCTAATTTAAAATAAATTCTTGAATTTTACAATTGTTCTAAAAAAATATTTAAAAAGTGTGAATTTGAAGAAAAAAAGATAATAAATTTAAAAAATCAGTGATACAAAAAAGGTTCATAGACTTTCAAAAATGTTAGCAGATTTAAAAAGGACTATGAATTCTAAAAATGTTCAATTTTGGTCAATACCAGTCAAAACAGGGATGAAACTGATTTGACCAGAGACATGTTGGTTTCTGACCTGTTTTGAAAGTTTGAGATTACAAAGTATACGGTTTTGAAGTTCGGGGTTGTTTCTTATACTTTTGAGAATTGAAGATTGTAATATGGACTTCTCTCTAAAAAAATAAGTATGTCGGACTGGACGCCAATCACACACACACACACACACACACACGAGGTTGCTGCTGCTGAGTGAAGGAAATATGCCCTAGAGGCAATAATAAAGTTATTATTTATTTCCTCATATCATGATAAATGTTTATTATTCATGCTAGAATTGTATTAACCGGAAACATGATACATGTGTGAATACATAGACAAACATATAGTCACTAGTATGCCTCTACTTGACTAGCTCATTAATCAAAGATGGTTATGTTTCCTAACTATAGACATGTGTTGTCATTTGATTAATGGGATCACATAATTAGAAGAATGATGTGATTGACATGACCCATTCCGTTAGCCTAGCACTTGATCGTTTAGTATGTTGCTATTGCTTTCTTCATGACTTATACAAAGTTCCTGCAACTATGAGATTGTGCAACTCACGTTTACCGGAAGAACACTTTGTGTGCTACCAAACATCACAACGTAACTGGGTGATTATAAAGGTACTCTACAGGTGTTTCCGAAGGTACATGTTGGGTTGGCATAATTCGAGATTAGGTTTTGTCACTCCAATTGTCGGAGAGGTATCTCTAGGCCCTCTCGGTAATACTCATCACCTAAGCCTTGCAAGCATTGTAACTAATGAGTTAGTTATAAGATGATGTGTTACAGAACGAGTAAAGAGACTTGCCGGTAACGAGATTGAACTAGGTATTGGATACCGACGATCAAATCTCGGGCAAGTAACATACCGATGACAAAGGAAACAACGTATGTTGTTATGCGGTTTGGCCGATAAAGATCTTCGCAGAATATGTAGGAACCAATATGGGCATCCAGGTTCCGCTATTGGTTATTGACCGAGAATGGTTCTAGGTGATGTCTACATAGTTCTCGAACCCATAGGGTCCGCACGCTTAACGTTACGATGACAGTTTTATTATGAGTTTATAAGTTTTGATGTACCGAAGTTTGTTCGGAGTCCCGGATGTGATCACGGGCATGACGAGGAGTCTCGAAATGGTCGAGACATAAAGATTGATATATTGGAAGCCTATGTTTGGACATCGGAAAGGTTCCGGGTGAAATCGGGATTTTACCGGAACACCGGGGGGTTACCGGAACCCTCCCGGGGGTTAATGGTCCTTAGTGGACCATGAGGGAAAAGAGGAGGGCCGGCCAGGGCAGGCTGCGCGCCCCTTCCCCACCTAGTCCGAATAGGACAAGGAAGGGGGGGCGGCGCCCCCCTTTCCTCTTTCCCCTCCCCCCTTTCCTTCTCCACCAAGGCAAGAGGGGGGAGTCCTACTCCCGGTGGGAGTAGGACTCCTCCAGGCGCACCCCAAGGGGGCCGGCCGCACCTCCCCCTCCCTCCTTTATATACGGGGGCAGGGGGCACCCCAGAACACACAAGTTGATCTACGGATTGTTCCTTAGCCGTGTGCGGTGCCCCCTCCACCATATTCCACCTCGGTCATATCGTCGCGGAGTTTAGGCGAAGCCCTGCGCCGGTAGAACATCATCATCGTCACCACGCCGTCGTGCTGACGGAACTCTTCCCCGAAGCTTTGTTGGATCGGAGCCCGGGGATCGTCATCGAGCTGAACGTGTGCTGAACTCGAAGGTGCCGTACGTTCGGTGCTTGGATCGGTCGGATCGTGAAGACGTACGACTACATCAACCGCGTTTTCATAACGCTTCCGCTTACAGTATACGAGGGTACGTGGACGAACACTCTCCCCTCTCATTGCTATGCCATCACTATGATCTTGCGTGTGCGTAGGAAAATTTTGAAATTACTACGTTCCCCAACAGTGGCATCCGAGCCTGGTTTTATGCGTAGATGTCATATGCACGAGTAGAACACAAGTGAGTTGTGGGCGATATAAGTCATACTGCTTACCAGCATGTCATACTTTGGTTCGGCGGTATTGTGAGATGAAGCGGCCCGGACCGACATTACGCGTACGCTTACGCGAGACTGGTTTCACCGCTACGAGCACTCGTTGCTTAAAGGTGACCGGCGGGTGTCTGTCTCTCTCACTTTAGCTGAATCGAGTGTGGCTACGCCCGGTCCTTGCGAAGGTTAAAACAGCACCAACTTGACAAACTATCGTTGTGGTTTTTGATGTGTAGGTAAGAACGGTTCTTGCTAAGCCCGTAGCAGCCACGTAAAACTTGCAACAACAAAGTAGAGGACGTCTAACTTGTTTTTGCAGGGCATGTTGTGATGTGATATGGTCAAGACGTGATGCTATATTTTATTGTATGAGATGATCATGTTTTGTAACCGAAGTTATCGGCAACTGGCAGGAGCCATATGGTTGTCGCTTTATTGTATGAAATGCAAACGCCCTGTAATTGCTTTACTTTATCACTAAGCGGTAGCGATAGTCGTAAAAGCAATAGTTGGCGAGACGACAACGATGCTACGATGAAGATCAAGGTTTCGCGCCGGTGACGATGGTGATCATGACGGTGCTTCGGAGATGGAGATCACAAGCACAAGATGATGATGGCCATATCATATCACTTATATTGATTGCATGTGATGTTTATCCTTTATGCATCTTATCTTGCTTTGATTGACGGTAGCATTTTAAGATGATCTCTCACTAAAATTATCAAGAAGTGTTCTCCCTGAGTATGCACCGTTGCCAAAGTTCGTCGTGCCCAGACACCACGTGATGATCGGGTGTGATAAGCTCTACGTCCATCTACAACGGGTGCAAGACAGTTTTGCACACGCGGAATACTCAGGTTAAACTTGACGAGCCTAGCATATGCAGATATGGCCTCGGAACACGGAGACCGAAAGGTCGAGCGTGAATCATATAGTAGATATGATCAACATAATGATGTTCACCATTGAAAACTACTCCATCTCACGTGATGACCGGTTATGGCTTAGTTGATTTGGATCACGTGATCACTTAGATGACTAGAGAGATGTCTGTCTAAGTGGGAGTTCTTAAGTAATATGATTAATTGAACCTAAATTTATCATGAACTTAGTACCTGATAGTATTTTGCTTGTCTATGTTTGTTTGTAGATAGATGGCTCGTGCTGTTGTTCCGTTGAATTTTAATGCGTTCCTTGAGAAAGCAAAGTTGAAAGATGATGGTAGCAATTACACGGACTGGGTCCGTAACCTAAGGATTATCCTCATTGCTGCACAGAAAAGTTACATCTTGGAAGCACCGCTGGGTGCCAGGCCTGCTGCTGATGCAACTGACGACGTTAAGAACGTCTGGCAGAGCAAAGCTGATGACTACTCTATAGTTCAGTGTGCCATGCTTTACGACTTAGAACCGGGTCTTCAACGACGTTTTGAACGTCATGGAGCATATGAGATATTCCAGGAGTTGAAGTTAATATTTCAAGCAAATGCCCGGATTGAGAGATATGAAGTCTCCAATAAGTTCTACAGCTGCAAGATGGAGGAGAATAGTTCTGTTAGTGAGCATATACTCAAAATGTCTGGGTATAATAATCACTTAATTCAACTGGGAGTTAATCTTCCGGATGATAGCGTCATTGACAGAATTCTCCAATCACTGCCACCAAGCTACAAGAGCTTTGTGATGAACTATAATATGCAAGGGATGAACAAGACTATTCCCGAGCTCTTCGCAATGCTAAAAGCCGCGAAGGTAGAAATCAAGAAGGAGCATCAAGTGTTGATGGTCAACAAGACCACTAGTTTCAAGAAAAAGGGCAAAGGGAAGAAGAAGGGGAACTTGAAGAAGAACAACAAGCAAGTTGCTGCTCAAGAGAAGAAACCCAAGTCTGGACCTAAGCCTGAAACTGAGTGCTTCTACTGCAAGCAGACTGGTCACTGGAAGCGGAACTGCCCCAAGTATTTGGCG